AGATAAGTTATAATAATAGAAATATACATATAGTAGATACTTTTTGCAATTAAATAATTATTCTTCAAACACGATATTTTAGTGATTTAATTAAAAAACGAGTAAACCCTTACCGTCAAAAAGATAAGTCCTTTCACTCCGGAGTTCCGAATGACAATGAAGACTGAACGATAAGTGAACGGTGAACGCAAAGTAAACGGAACGAAGAGCGAACGGTGAACGCCAGCGCACGGTGAACGGAGAGCGAACGGTGAACGCACGGTGAGCGAACGGAAAAATGGGAAAGTAGAACGTTTCGGGGACTGTAAAGACAATCAATATTTATAGATTTTTGCTTGAGAGCCATGGCCTTAATGTTTGGAACACAAGAAACGCACATGTTAAATATGAAAGCCATCTTTCGTAAAAAAAAAAATAAGGCTGTGTCGTAAATAAAATTGTAAAAGGAAAACGGATTGGACCATTTGCACATGCAAACACAAAAGCCCAATAAACAGTTATTCAGTAAACATCAAGCGTTTGTGAAATTAGGGTTTAAAGTCCCTGGGGCCTATATGAAATAGGGAATAATTATCATTTGAAACATTTTTTTTTTGGTTGGAAAAAACTGAGGAAACAAACTTGTTTGTTTATTACCGTTAGTGTTCGCATCGTGGTAGGCTTTGTCAACGAACTCCGTCTTGCAAATATTTCCATCTCTATCCGCATCAAAATAATCAAAGAGAGGTTCCTTACATAGAAAATCTAATCCTACGTGCGCATTAAACTCCGTCCTTGACAGACAGCCATCACCTAAAAGTAAATAAATCTTAGATATCACACAAACCGTGTAAATGGGATTTTTTTTTAGAAAGATGCAAAATGATAATAGATCTTTTCTTCTTTCTTTTAAATGTGCATTTCTCACATTAGTAGCACCTTCTCTTAAATAAATTTGGTGAGTCAAGAGTGGAACATGGCCTTAACCCAAGGTCACTTATACAAGTTAAAGGTCACCGACAGAAAAAGTTCATATTTCGAGTCCGTCCATTTTTCTTACGGATAAATTTGGCGAGTTTGCTTATGACCTGAGGGTGTGTCATGACTTTGACCCAAGGTCATTTGTGCAAGTATTAGTGACTTGCAACATTCTCTGAAACCTCCCTAACCAAAAAATATAGTTATCCATAATTTACTACAGTTTACTATAGTTAATTATAGTAAATCAAAGTGTCGAAGTTTTCGATCAAGTTTATCAAAGTGTCAAAGTTTTTCAGAGTGTCAAAGTTTACGATAAAGTTTTTCAAAGTGTCAAAGATTACCATAAACTTTTTCAAAGTGTCTAAAGTTATCGATAAAGTTTTTTAAAGTGTCAAAATTTCGCCAAATTTTATCAAAGTGTCAAAGTTTTCGACAAAGCTTTTCAAAGTTTCGCCAAATTTTATCAAAGTTTCAAAGTTTTCGATAAAGTTTTTCAAAGTGTCAAAGTTTTCGTCAAATTTTATCAAAGATTCAAAGTTTTCGATAAAGTTTTTCAAAGTGTCAAATTTTTGATAAACTTTATCAAAGTGTCAAAGTTTTTGATGAAGTTTTTCAAAGTGTCAAAGTTTCGCCGAATTTTATCAAATTTTCAAAGTTTTCGTCAAATTTTACCAAAGATTCAAAGTTTTCGAAAAAGTTTTTCAAAGTGTCAAAGTTCTCGATCAAGTTTTTAGTTCTTCTGAGCCAAAGGCTCAAAGAGCTAATGCTATGGCCATTTGTGCGGTGTGCGTTAACTTTTTAGAATATGGACCATAACTCAAGAAACCCTTGGCTAATCATTGTCAAATTTGTTACAGGGTATCCTTGGCCCAAGGGCTACCATTTATACTAAAACTAGGGTTGGGACCCTAAAACAAGGGGAGATAATCAGGAAAATGGAACCAAAAGTACTGGTTGCTAAAAAATCTTCTCCAGAACCACCAGGCAGATTTTCACCAAACTTACATACAAGGTTCAGGATATGTTAAATAAAAAAATTGTTCAAGGCATGACCCTGGGGCAAAGGGCGTGGTCTCAAGGTCACTTCAAAGTTAACCAAAATTTACACTTAATAAGAACGTTGATATTTTGCTTACTATAAAGACTAGGATCATCAAATCTTGTAAGTTAATGCATCTAAGGATTTCACATCATGTTAACACAAAAATAGGTCACGGTGACCTACTTTTTAAATTTTACGGGATTTTATTTTCAAATTGATTTGGATGCATATTTTGGACACTTTAAGGCCTATGATCATCAAACTTTGTCAGTTGATGCATCTTGGGTCCTTAAACAAGGTCAACTTAAAAGTAGGTCACCGTGACCTACTTTTTTTTTTTTATTTTATGGCTCATCTTTTCTGAAACATTTCATCCCATTATTTCAGATACTGAGAGGTTTAGATTCACCAAATCTTGTAAGTTGATGCATCTTAGGGCCTTAAAACATATTTATGAAAAAGTAGGTCACTGTGACCTACTTTTTGAATTTTGCAGGCATTTGTTTTCAAATTGTTCAAAAGGCATATTTTGAATACTTTCAGACCTATGATCATCAAACTTTGTCAGTTGATGCATCTTGGGTCTTCGGAAAATGTCGACCAAAAAGTAGGTCACGGTGACCTACTTTTGACATTTTATAGCTATATATATTTCAGTATCTTAGGTACTTTTTGGCTTATAATCATCAAACTTTGTCAGTTGATACAACTTGGGTTTTCGGAGAATATTGAGCAAAAAGTAGGTCACTGTGACCTAGTTTTGACATTTTATGGCTATATTTATGTATCTTAGGTACTTTTTGGTCTAGAATCATCAAACTATGTCAGTTGATGCAACTTGGGTTTTCGAAACCTGTCGACTAAAAATAGGTCACTGTGACCTAGTTTTGAATTTTATGGCTATATTTAAGTATCCCGGGTACTTATTGGCCTAGAATTGTCAAACGTTGTCAGTTAAGGCATCTTGGGTTTTCGGAGAATGTCAACCAAAAAGTAGGTCACAATGACCTATTTTTGAGTATCTCAGTTACTTATTTGCTTAGGATCATCAAACATTGTCAGTTGATGCATTTTGGGTCCTCGGAAAATGTTGACCAAAAAGTAGGTCATGGTGACCTACTTTTGACATTTTATCGCTATATTTAAGTATTTTAGGTACTTTTTGGCTTACAATTATCAAAACTTTGTCATTTGGTTTTTCGAAGAATGTCGACGAAAAAGTAGGTCACTATGACCTAGTTTTGACATTTTATCGCTATATCTTAGGTACTTTTTGGCTAAGAATTATCAAACGTTGTCAGTTGAGGCATCTTGGGTTTTCAGAGAATGTCGACCAAAAAGTAGGTCACAATGACCTACTTTTAATTATCTCAGATACTTATCGGCTTAGAATCATCAAACATTGTCAGTTGATGCATTTGGGTCCTCGGAAAATGTCGACCAAAAAGTAAGTCACGGTGACCTATTTTTGACATTTTATTTTAATATCTCTAGTAATAATTGACTTAGAATCATCAAACTCTGATAGTTGATGCATCTTTGGTCCTTGGGGAATGTCAACCATAAGAAGGTCACAGTGACCTACTTTGATATTTGAGGTACTTATTCAATAGAACCATCAATCTTTGTCAATTAATGCATCTTGAGTCCTCAGAAAGTTTCAAATCAAAAAGTTGGTCACCATGTCCTACTTATGGTATTTTATAGCTATACTGAAATATCTTCAGTCCTAACAGGCAAAGAATCATCAAACTTTGTCAGTTCATGCATCTTAGGATACTTAGAGTAAGAGGCTGCAAACAGAAGTGATAGCTTGTACAATTTATCAGAAGAGCGATTCAAGGCCCTTGGGCCTCTTGTTTAAAGTGTATACTGTTTAACGTCCCTCTGAAGTATTTTCAACTCTAATTGGGACGCCACCACTTGCCGTTGGAAATCTGCAAATGTTGTTCTATACTCGGCACTCAGGGCCATTGAGTATTGAGGGATCTTATTGTGCCATCACCTACTGCGACACGGGACCCAGGTTTATCCGGTATCATTCGAAGGACCGGTCCCACAGTGGGATTCGACCCCGCGACGTAAGGATCATCTCCTTCGAGACTCTAGAGCAGAGTTTTAAAAATTGCATTAATTTTGGTGGTTTTAGCCCCACCCCTCATGCCCCAGGGGATATAAACATAAAAGTCACGATTTTTGTCCCCCTTCACTGATACATGCTAAATGCCAAATTTGGTTGCATTTGGTTAAGTTATTTCAGAAAGAATGCTAAAAGTGTTCAAATGTTGAGACACAACGCAGGACGACGGACGCAAACAGATAGCAACAGGTCACCTGAGTGACTCTGGCGACCTAAAAAGCAAAACAGTATTATCATAGAAGACTTTTTTTAAAAATATGTTTTTTAATACCCATTAGGGACTACATATCATTATCGGTTTGAAATGTCAAGAAATGCCCATGACGGCCTCAGAGAATTATCTTACTAGAACTTATCTTGGTCAGATTTTCTAAAAACGGATGTGGCATCCTAAAGATTCTTGCTCATGTGATACATTTAACATGTAAATGTGATACATGGCCATACATCAGGTTGATTAAAGAAGATATCCTCAACGGACTTTAATGTAAACACAACTGCCTCTCTGGTGGTACCAAAACTCGTGATATATTGTAAATGTGTCAAAACATTATCTATAAATTTTATATTGTCTTTCACTCATTTTTTTTTTTTTGCTAGCCTCTGTGGGAATTTGTCACATAATAATTTTTGTAATTTTAGCCACGTTTCTAAATAGCAATCAAGTTAAATTTACCCAGTTAAACGATGCAATGACATTTCATCAACTTGAAGATTGAGGCGAGAAGCGGACTGGGGAATGATGTTTGACCTTTTGACAGTCCTTATTGATTATCTCTAATTTTTGAATAATTTTGGTCGACCGAGATAAAAATATTTTAAAATGCTAACATAGGAATGTTACCATTTTATTTATGTGAACTTGCTGAGAAAGCAATGGAAATAACAATGTGGCAGTTTCTTAGTGTTGCGTTTTTTCTTTGGATGCAGACTAGAAGAATTGATTGTGTAAGTTATATTTGCGAGATCTCAAAAATATGCGTACTTTTGATTAATTGATTTAAGGAACATTTTTCCAAACATACGTTCCATACATACAAAATTTGATGTGCTAATTTAAATCCTTAAAGATGAGAAAAGTTAAATGTAGTACAATTAAAATCCCTTCCCCGTAAAAGAAAGAGGTACAATTTGGGCTTTATTGTGCTCTTCAAATTTAATGTTTTCAAAAAGATATGAAATTGGCTGATTTATGAGTTGAGTATATAAATGTGATAAATCATGAAAGAATATGACATGAAGGAGGACCATTCTAGAATTATGAAGTTATTAATTTTGTACCTTTCTAAGATTATATGTCTTAAACAGATGTAGTCCCAAAATGACTCATTGCAGGGGTATTTCTTAGAAAAAACTGTGTCCACAGCCATTACCCACTTCTATTTTCATATGTGTTGTTAAAAGCCTTTGAAACATTATATTTCTCAGAATCATTGTGAGTGACCGATAGATGTCCTCTACATTATCTGAAAGAAAAAAATCCACTGAAAATTGATGTATTCTGCAACTTTTGAAAAAAGGAAATACTAAATATACTTCATGACGTCACAACTAGCATTTAGTACGCCGTATGAGAAAAATGATCGATTTTTTTAAGCATGAAATTTCAAAAATTCTGAATGGATGAATTGCAATTTGTTTACTCCACTTCCATATTTAAAAAAAAAATGAGGACCAGATTTGTATTGAAACTACCTTGTTCTGTACGAGTGCCTTTGATATAAATCGTCTTTTTGTTTTTGGCTGGTGTAAGAAAAAAAATAATTGTTTCTATATTAAGTCTGTTGGAATGAAAAAAGGTTTGAACAATCAAGTTGTATTTGTACAGGTATTGACCTCTCTAAATGATTTGGTATGAAGTTTTAATACTAATCATTGACGGTCATGCAAGTTTGGTCCTTAGTAAAGGTTTCATGTTTTCGATATTTTTTTCCTCAAACGCTAATACAGATTTTTTTCTTCGTTTCAAATGAGAAAGATTATACAATAACAGTGTTACAGCAATGTTTTTAAAAAAATATTTCACAGCAAACGATGGAAACTATCCGGCCATTTGGAAAGGTGAAAATACAACCCTTAAATTTCAGTAATGCATTTGATCAAGGGAAGAGAGTAGCAACCACCCGCTGTGTATTCCATGGGCCCCGCGATTTGACGGCAACATTTTCTAACATCGATGGAACATTTAACAAAGGTTATTACTTTCTAACCTAAAGTATTATATGCTTTAGTATATATAAAGTCTAAAGTAGATTGATTTGATTCAAGTAAAGGTTAACAGCAAAGTGTTTTTTAAGAACATAATTCTAAAGGAAAACATTTATTTTAGTATTGTTTATAGTTTTTCACACTTGGAAGTAAAATTTTCCCCGTTTTGAATTCGCCCTAACATAGTTCTGATGAAGATATTAATGACTTTTTTTTAATTCGCCCATTTCTAATTTCGCCTTGGAGAAGGGCGAAAATGTCCCTGTTACAGTTTTTGGTAGGAATTTTTCTCTAAAAATTTTATATTACTGTGTTCTTTTAATTATCTGATATGTGCGCGTTTCTATTCAGGGAAGGTCATTGACAAAGACACGACAGAGTACGAAGCAGTTTTTCAGTCCTCTATGGATGTTGAAAGTTACGGAAAAATAGATTTGCTGTCTGCATCAACTTTAGAATCAATGACTATAGATTTAGACCTTCCCAAGACAAGTAAATCTATGCAGAACAATTTTCCTTTTACAAGCTGCAAGTTTGAAGTCCAAAGGTCCAGCGATGAACAAACAACTAACTATACTGCTATTGCGAAAGAGTGCGGGAAGATGGCGAGCAACGGGATGTATCTTTATTTCCCAGTTAAACTGACGGAATGGAACCATGTCAAATATGCTAAAGTGTCAACTAGTTTCTATCAGTCACCAGAAACTACGGCAAATGTCGTTATTAAGACAAACGAATTGGCTACTGATGGTGTTGACATTAAATCTGTCCACTTCTCCATTATGAACTACTACGGGGACTATGCGTCTTTAGCTCATTATCTTACTTGGTCATTCAGGCTTATATAGCCACCCCTCCAATCATAGATCAATATCGAATTTATTGTGAAATATCGGTGTTATCTATTATTAAATCCGTAACAATGTACATGAAGCAGATTTAAATGTAAAGTAAACCGTCAACTGTTAAACTCAAGTGTCAATAGAATAATAGTGAAATACATATGCAAAGGATTCGTGTTTAAAAATTCAGACTATGTTAACATGCAATAATATCAGTTTCAAAGTCTCGGCATGCGTTTGGGTAACTTTAACAAATCAACATTTAATTTCGACCAAACAATTAAGCGGACAGTCATTTTTTTTTGGTTTTTTTTTTTTTTTTTTTTTTTTTTTTTTTTTGGTTGTTTCTTTTCTTTTTTTTTTGGATGTGGTACACATAAACTGTTCTGCCGATTTAAGCTTTAAAATTTATTTCAATTTTGCTGTTTGATATCATGCTTGTAAATTTTACTTGTATAAACAAGACGTAAGATACAAGGTTTTGCTGTTTAGTTTGTCATCTAATTACAAGTTTTCGAGAAATTATCACCGTGCAGAATTGACCCTTTTTACAAATTTAACTTTTTCAGATTTCAAACAATTCATTTTCAGTATATAGGTAGACCCCCCCCTTGGTATCCCTGACCCAGGGGCCTTGAAATTCACAATGCTAAAAGAAGAGCCCTTGCACATCATAACTTTATAAATAGTTCATCTGAGGAGAAAAAGATTTTCATAGATGTAATGTATTTTCACTATATAATCATTATAGAGCCACACCCAAACACCATAACCCCTGACCCAGGGGCCTTGAAATTCACAATTTTTGTAGAGACACTCTTGCTCATCATAACTATTTACTTAATTAGTTTATTTAAAACTCGGGAACAGAGAAGATTTTCAAAGAAATAATGTATTTTCACTATATAATCAATAGAGCCTTGCCTTAAAACCAGAATCCCTGACCCCGTGGCCTTGAAATTCACAATGTTGGCAGAAGCACTCTTGTTCATCATAACTATGTACTTAATTAGTTTATTTAATATCTAGGATCAGAGATTTAATGCATTTTCACTATATAATCAATAGAGCCCCGCCCTAACACCAGAACCCCTGACCCTGGGGCCATGAATTTCACAATTTTGGAAGAGGAGTCGATGCTGATTACAATCATACCAACAGTTTGACTGTTTGATGTCTAGGAGTAAAACGAAGATTTATAAAGATTGCATTAATTTTAGTGATTTTTGCCCCACCCCCCTGGCCCCTACCATGAAATTCAAAATTTTTGTTCCCCTTCACACACAGATGCTATATCCCAAAATTGGTTGAAATTGGTTCAGCGGTTTCGGAGAAGCTGAAAATGTTCAGATGTTAACAAACGACGGACGACGACGGACGAAAATGGATAGCAAGAGTTCACCTGAGTTTACTCAGGTGACCTAATAAAATCACATATTTTCGAGAGAGCAAATTTTCGTGGATTGAGTAAAATATTTTGGTTCATGGGGAATTGCTCGGTAATAATATAACGAAAATTGGTGATTCCACATTATTGTTCCTCATCCTGATATATGTTCATGTGCCGGTGTATTTGAAAAAAAAATCACCGTTTTCTTTAATTTAATTTTTTTACCTGCTACGCATTGAGGGAAAATAGCAAAAGAAAAAAAAATTTGTTAACCCAGGTGAGAAATAAAACAGAACCACGTCTGCTTTCAAATTGACATTTTTACCCTTTTTGAAAACTTGATTAAAAAAAAAACATGCACAAAACTGTTGAACCGTATATACAATGTGTGACCAGGAAATACAATGTGTAATTAAAATGTGTAAATATTTGACTAGGAAATTTGTCATATAATTAGTATTTGTACTTAACAGTTTCTGAATTACAATTTATCTGGAATTAAACGATGAAATGACATTTTATGAACTTTCAGATTGATGCGACAAGTGAATGATGTTTGACCTTTTAATAAATATTATTAATAATCTCTTATTTTTGAATCATTTCGGTTGACTTGGATAAGAATAATTTTAAACATTAAACATACTGTACTTTCCCTTCATTTAGCTTAACTTGTTAAAGCAAGCCATGGAGATGCCGATATAGCAGTTTCTTACTGTTGCGTTTATTCTCTTGATACAGACCGGGAGGTCTATTTAACTGAATATATATTCGATTGATTGATTGCGTAACGTCTTCACTCATGCAGACACCACTTGCTGGTGGAAAGCTACAGATTGTGTCCAACACTCGGCATTCAGGGCCTCTGAGCAGCGTGAGAATTTTTTTTTCATGCCAGTGCCTACTGCGACACGGGACCTCGGTATATACCGTCTCATCAAAAGGACCGGTCTCCAAGTCCAACAGTGGGGTTATATACATGTATGTTTGAAGGTTTAAATTGTAGTCCAAGAGTTTGTATCATTTTCTTTATCCAGGTTTAAGCTTAAATTCTTTTGAATAAAAATTCTTTGGGATTTCCGCAATGCTTTATGTTTTCAGACAAAGAAACGTACAAGCACGTATGTCACATGAAACAATTGCTGAGGTGCAAAATTTCTAAAAATATTCATTGTGCTTATTCTATTTTTTAAAGGAGAGAAAAGTGAAATCTATGTACAACTGTTTATATCTGTTTTCTAGTGAAGTTGTCTGTCGAGTTTATTTGAAATACGAGGGTCGCTAGAAAAGTTCGCGGACACATTGAATTACGGAAAATCTATTGTGTACTGTGAAGTATGACCTATGTCTGAATAAATTCCTACATTTTGTTTATTGGTAGGTAAAAAATCAGGTCCATTTAATAAAATCTTGAAAATTTACAACGATTTTTACTATGAGGTCATGGGATTCACGGAGCAATCACTTGACGTAAGGCGATGTGACAACCAGATTTCAACCCGTTAAGCTTTGTCGCAGTTCTATAAATCTTCAGATTTTTCTTATCTTTTTCTACTTTAAAATTGAATATCTATAACAAGACATGTTACTTTTCTTCTATAATGTCTTTTGCACTGATTCGGATATTATTGATCTTAAAAAAAAGTCTATGCAGTTAATCAGTTAATCGATCAAGTATGGAAACTATGCAAAACCATACAGGCGCAACGCAACGTTCATGCGATACGGGGGTATTGAAGTATCGCTGGAGTTAATCATTCAAAATGTCAATTCTTCCATTCTTATGAAGCTACAACCATTTGAAAACTTGTCCTTTGTATTTATAGGAAATTTCCTGCAACATCTTGAATATTTTAATCTCTTTTCAGACATTTTCCAGCCTGCAAACATAATTTTTAGCTCTACTGGTCAGAGACCAGAAGAGCTTATGCGATAGTAATGCGTCCGTCGTCCGTCCGTCTGTCTGTCTGTAAACAATTTTTCAAAATGCTACTCCTCCTACAGTTTTGGTCTGATTTCAATATAACTTGGCACACAAGTAGACTACACTAAGATACATAATTCTGTGTATCGGTTTTTGATTTCGATGAACGGTGTTGCCGTGGTTACTAAAACTAGAAATTTCTGTGAAATTCTTTCAAAATGCTACTCCTCCTACAGTTTTAGTCTGATTTCAGTATAACTTGGCATACAAGTAGACTACACTAAGATACATAATTATTTTTATCGGTTATTGATTTCGATGAACGGTGTTGCCGTGGTTACTAAAAATAGAAATTTGTGAAATTCTTTCAAAATGCTACTCCTCCTACAGTTTAGTCTGATTTCAGTATAACTTGGCATACAAGTAGACTACACTAAGATACATAATTCTGTATATCGGTTATTGATTTCGATGAACGGTGTTGCCGCGGTTACTAAAAATAGAAATTTCTGTGAAATTCTTTCAAAATGCTACTCCTCCTACAGTTTTAGTTTGATTTCAATATAACTTGGCACACAAGTAGACTACACTAAGATACACAATTCTGTATATCGGTTTTTGATTTCAATGAACGGTGTTGCCGTGGTTACTAAAAATAGAAATTTCTGTGAAATTCTTTCAAAATGCTACTCCTTCTACAGTTTTAGTCTGATTTCAATATAACTTGGCACACAAGTAGACTACAATAAGATACATAATTCTGTGCATCAGTTTTTTTTTTATTTCGATGAACGGTATTCCGTGGTTACTAAAAATAGAAATTTCTGTGAAATTCTTTCAAAATGCTATTCCTACAGTTTTAGTCTGATTTCAATATAACTTGGCACACAAGTAGACAACACTAAGATACATAATTCTGTTTATCGGTTTTTGATTTCGATGAACGGTGTTGCCATGGTTACTAAAAATAGAAATTTCTGTGAAATTCTTTCAAAATGCTACTCCTCCTACAGTTTTAGTCTGATTTTAATATAACTTGGCATACAGGTAGACTACACTAAGATACATAATTCTGTATATCGGTTTTTGATTTCGATGAACGGTGTTGCCGTGGTTACTAAAAATAGAAATTCCTATGAAATTCTTTAAAAATGCTACTCCTCCTACAGTTTTAGTCTGATTTCAATATAACTTGGCACACAAGTAGACCACACTAAGATACACAATTCTGTGTATCGGTTTTTGATTTCAATGAACGGTGTTGCCGTGGTTACTAAAAGTAGAAATTTCTGTGAAATTCTTTCAAAATGCTACTCCAAATACAATTTTAGTCTGATTATAATATAAATGTGGCATGCAAGTAGACTGCACTAAGAACATAAAGAGACTTAATCAAGGCTCATTATTCTATTTATTGCTGTTGAAAAGTTTCAGTTTCCAACTGCTTAAGTACTTTTCTCTTCCTTTGCTATAAGTACAAACCAGTAGAGCTTCAGTCTCGACAGAGACTTCTGGTTACGTAGTGCAGTGCTCCATGACGCTCAATGACGTTCCGATTTTTGGCTGTGTTTTTACGCGTTGATCATTTATAAACGGCTATAAAACAGTCATATACCCTCCAATTTAGTTCAAAATTTCTCCCAGTGACGTTTTATGGATACTTTAGCGGCAGGTAAAAAATCATAAATATCTTTGCGGTACAATTGTGCAATTTTTAATTTTAATAAAGAGTCTTTGTGATGTAAACGTGCCAAAATGTAGCATGCTCCGTGAAGCAAGTTTTATCAAAATAAAAAAGCTGTAAATTTTTCAATAATCACCGGAGAGCAGCAAATTCTTGTATATTTATTGGAAAAGAGGCAAAGATTTTATTTGGAAAGTTTGACCGGTTTCGTGGAAATAGCACGCTCACAATTGAACTTGTCCGCGAACTTTTCTAACACCCCTCGTATATCGACTTTCAAAAAGGGAAAATAAAGAACTGTCTCTTGATTAAGTATAATGCAAGGAAAAAAAGAAAACAACAAATAGGTCTGAATACACAGGGTGTAATTGTATTCATCTCTTTAAATGATTAGGTTAAGGGTTTCAAAACAATTCACTGGACAGTGGTTGTCATCTAATTTGGGTCTCTTTTAAAGGTTTTATGTTAACGATATTCTTTGCAGATGGTAATTGAGGTTTTTTTCTCTACACGTAGTCTTTAAATGAGCAGGATG